CAGTAGAAGATGGCCCAAGTCCTTGGGCCCCTGCACCCACGTGGGAGACCCGGAAGAAGCTCCTGGCTTCTGGCTTTGGATCAGCACAGCTCCGGCTGTTGCGGCCATTTCCATCAGATGGAAGACCTCTCTCTCTCTCTGTCTCTCTCTCTCTCTGCTTCTCCTCTCTCTGTGTAACTCTAACTTTCAAATGACTAAAGAAATAAATCTTTACAAAAAAAAAAAAAAACACGTCTATAACGGTTTCCTGTTGTGCTATTTTTCAGTTTGTTCAAATGTACACCTAACTTCATATATACATAATTGACCATGATATAATTCTTTTAAATGGATATATAAAAGAGGTGTAAAGAATCAAAGCTTATAGGTTTTGTGCCACTGAACACCTTTCACCAAAACCTAAAGTTGTCTTTGCTTGGCATTGTAGAAATGAAAACCACTTTTAATTGAATTTAAAAATTAAAATTTAAAAATTAGAATTAAAAAAGAGATATTGGGGCCGGCGCCGCGGCTCACTAGGCTAATCCTCCGCCTTGCGGCGCCGGCACACGGGGTTCTAGTCCCGGTCGGGGCGCCGGATTCTGTCCAGGTTGCCCCTCTTCCAGGCCAGCTCTCTGCTGTGGCCCGGGAGTGCAGTGGAGGATGGCCCAAGTGCTTGGGCCCTGCACCCCATGGGAGACCAGGAGAAGCACCTGGCTCCTGGCTTCGGATCAGCGCCATGTGCTGGCCGCAGCGCGCCAGCCGTGGCGGCCACTGGAGGGTGAACCAACGGCAAAGGAAGACCTTTCTCTCTGTCTCTCTCTCTCACTGTCCACTCTGCCTGTCAAAAAAATAAAAAATAAAATAAAATAAAAAAATAAAAAATAAAAAAAGAGAGATTATTTCTCTAAAAAAAAAAAGAGATATTGGAAACAACTTAGACCCACTGGCTTATAGAGATGTGATTACAAATAAAGTTCAGTGACTTCCAAAATTATCCAACTCTTTAGTGGCACACTTATTATTAAACTCTGTTACATTACCACTCTTGCTCCTCAAAATGGTGTTCACTGACAATAACACACACATAAGAAAAGATTATTATGAAAAAATGGCAAGGGCATTAGACCGTCAATCAGACAATCCTTGCATATCTTATTACATTTGATTGATCCCAAGGAATAGGAAATAATAGGCAATCTTTAAGTAATTTTTCCACATCTGAAATTCTTTGAGATTCAGGGGAGTACAAAAATGGATTATTAGAGAGCCTTGAAAGTGAACCCAGAACAGAGTGCAGAAGAGCAGGTTTTCAGCTCAGTGATTAAGACATTTGCATCCTACATTGGAGGACCGGGGTTCAATTCCCAGCTTTAGTTCCTGACTCTAGCTTACTGCCAATGGAGACTCTGGGAGGCAGTGGTGATGGCTCAAATAATTGGGTTCTTGTCACTCTGGATTTCATTACTGGCCCCGGCAATTACAGGCACCTGGAGAGTAAACAGCAAATGGGAGCACTCTCTTGCTCTTTCTCTCTTTCTGTCTCTGCCCCTCTGCCTTTCAAATCATTAATTAAAACAACAACAACAACAGAGACTACAGGAACTTCAAACAATAAGAAATAAGCCAGAACCCTAGTGGCGTTTTCCCTGTTATAACACTGAGAGTGGAATCAGAAGCACATTCCATGAATAATTACAGCATAGGCCACCACAGTCAGGAAAATAACTCTAATTGCACAAGGTAATACTGTGAAGCAACCTGAGTCAGAAGTCTGCCAAGATTCCACCATAGCTTCTTTTCTCTGTAATTCTCCAGAGTGAATATCTCCAAGCAAGAAACACATAAAGAAATAGGAGCATGGGGCTGGAACATGTAAAATTATACATACTGGCAGTAGAAACAAGATGGGGGGAAAAAGTTGAATAGGCCACCTCTTAACAAAGTAAATAAACAGAGGTTTGACTAATTTAGACACAGGACCCAAAACAAAAAACTCACAACAGGCCAACAGATAAGTATCAGCAGGTATTGCAATGTAAAATACAAACTTGGCTTCAAAGTTAATACAAAAAGGACAATTTGCTAGCAGCTATAGTGAACAAGTCTAGAAATCCTTGTTCAGTGCTGTCTGTTGAAAAAGTGTAAGAGGGGATGGCGCTGTGGCACAGTAGGTTAATCCCCCACCTAGGGCACTGGAATTCCATATGGGTGCTGGTTCTAGTCCCAGGTGCTCCTCTTACAATCCAGCTCTCTGATGTGGCCTGGGAAAGCAGTAGAAGATGGCCCAAGTCCTTGGGCCTCTGCACCCACATGGGAGACTGAGAAGAAACACCTGGCTCCTGGCTTCAGACATGCGCACCCAGGCCGGCCGTTATGGGCACTTGGAGAGTGAACCAGTGGAAGGAAGATCTTTTTTTGTCTCTCCCTCTCACTGTCTGTAACTCTACCTCTCAAATAAATAAATAAAAATCTTTTTAAAAGATAAAAGCAAAAAAGGGAAAAAGTGCAAGAGGAACTTAATGACTATGTAGGCAAAAGGAAAATGACAAGATGAGGAAGACATAAGGTAGGCAGTTGGCACAGTGGTTAAAATGCCTCTTGACTCACATTCAGAAATCCACCAACAACAGATGCTGGCGAGGATGTGGGGAAAAAGGGACACTAACCCACTGTTGGTGGGAATGCAAGCTGGTCAAGCCACTATGGAAGTCAGTCTGGAGATCCCTCAGGAACCTGAAGATAACCCTACCGTTCGACCCAGCCATCCCACTCCTTGGAATTTATCCAAAGGAATTTAAATTGGCAAACAAAAAAGCAGTCTGCAGCCTAATGTTTATTGCAGCTCAATTCACAATAGCTAAGACCTGGAACCAACCTCAATGCCCATCAACGGTAGACTGGATAAAGAAATTATGGGATATGTACTCTTTAGAATACTATACCGCAGTAAGAAACAACGAAATCCAGTCATTTGCAACAAAATGGAGGAATCTGGAACACATCATGCTGAGTGAAATAAGCCAGTCCCAAAGGGACAAATACCATATGTTCTCCCTGATTGGTGACAACTGACTGAACACCAAAAAGGAAACCTGTTGAAGTGGAATGGACACTATGGGAAACGGTGACTTGATCAGCATAGCCCTGACTGTTAATGAACAACTTAATACATTATCCCTCTTAGTAGTTTTTTTGTCTGTTCTACTTAATATGACTGGTTTAATTCTGTAATTAATACACAGTTATTCTTAAGTGTTGAAATTTAACTGAAATGTGATCCCTGTTAAACACAAGAGTAGGAATAAGAGAGGGAAGAGATGTATAATTTGGGACATGCTCAAGCTGACTTGCCCCAAATGGTAGAGTTAGAAACATACCAGGGTACTCCAATTTAATCCCATCAAGGTGGCATGTACCAATGCCATCTCACTAGTCCAAGTGATCAATTTCAGTTCACAATTGATCATAATGAAAGGACTAAGAGTCAAAGGGAGCACATAAGCAAGTCTAGTACCTGCTAACACTAACCGATAGAATAAATAAAGGGGAGAGTGATCCAACATGGGAAGTGAGATACTCAGCAGACTCATAGAATGGCAGATGTCCTAAATAGCACTCTGGCCTCAGAATCAGCCCTAAAGGCATTCCGATCTGGCTGAAAAGCCCATGAGAGTATTTCAGGCATGGAAAGCCAAGACACTCTGGCAAAAGATCTCTGCGAGTGAGATCTCAGTGGAAAGAACAGGTCTTCAAAGAAGGAGGTACCTTTCTCTGAAGGGAGGAGAGAACCTCCACTTTGACTATGACCTTGTCTAAACAAGATAAGAATCGGAGAACTCAGAGGGCTTCCATAGCCTTGGAAACTCATGACTGGAGCATAGGGAGATTACTGATGCCATAGACAGGAGTGTCAATTGGTAAAGTCAACAACAGGAGTCACTGTGCACTTACTCCTCATGTAGGATCTCTGTCCTTAATGTGCTGTGCATTGAAATTTAATGCTATAACGAGTACTCAAATAGTATATTTCACTTTGTGTTTCTATGGGGGTGCAAACTGTTGAAATCTTTACTTAATGCATACTAAACTGATCCTCTGTAAAAAAAAACATAAAAAAAAAAAAAAAAAGAAAAGAAACTATCAACTCCCAACTTGACTCTCACTGGGATTAAACATGACAATAGGTCTGATCTGATTTCATCATCATTTAAAAAAAATCATCTATTATTTTTCACTTTATGTTTCTGTGTGGGAGCAAACTGTTGAAATCCTTACTTAATGTATACTAAGCTGATCTTCTGTATATTAAGATAATCGAAAATGAATCTTGATGTGAATGGAAGGGGAGAGGGAGTGGGAAAGGGGAGGGTTGTGGGTGGGAGGGACGGTATGGGGGGGAAGCCATTGTAATCCATAAATCGTACTTTGGAAACTTATATTCATTAAATAAATAAAAAAATAAAAATAAAATGCCTCTTGAGATACCTGCATCCCACATTGGAGTGCAAGGTTTGAGCCTTAGCTCTGCTCCTGATTCCAGTTTCCTGCTAATGTACACCTTACGAAGCAGCAAGTGAAGGCTCAAGTATTTGGGTTCCTGTCACTCACGCTGGAGACTTGGATTGAGTTCCTGGTTCATAATGCTGGCTTGGCACAGGCCTAGCTGTACTGGGCGTTTGGCCAATGAATAAGTGGATGGAAGATCTCTCTATCTGCCTGTTTCTCTGTCTATCTCTGCCTTTGAAATTAGATAAATAAATAAATAAATATTTTAAAAGATGAAGGCAATGGCAGAAAAGATAAGTGGTCATTTTTCTCCCTCTTGTATATTTTTTGTGTATATTATTTTATGGTCTGATTTAAAACAATGAGATTTAAGTTGGTTAATTTTAGTTATGTAATAATTTAACATGTGGCAGGAAAACAGCATTAAATGGATTATTTATAGTTTGATTCACTTAGAAATTTTATTTTCTTTTTACTTAAGTGCAATAAAATGTTTTTTTTTTTTCATGCAGAAAAAAAAGAAAAGAAATATGGGAAGAAAAACAAAGGAGAGAATGTTTTGAAAAGACTCTGCAGGTTTGGCCAGCGCTGTGGCTCAATAGACTAATCCTCCGCCTGTGGCGCCAGCACCCTGGGTTCTAGTCCTGGTCAGGTTGCTGGATTCTGTCCTGGCTGCTCCTTTTCCAGTCCAGCTCTCTGCTGTGGCCCAGGAGTGCAGTGGAGGATGGCCCAAGTCCTTGGACCCTGGACCTGCATGGGAGACCAGGAGAAGCACCTGGCTCCTGGCTTTGGATCAGCGTGGTGCGCCAGCCACAGCATGACAGCCGCAGTGGCCATTGCAGGGGTGAACCAATGGCAAAAGGAAGACCTTTCTCTCTGTCTCTCTCTCTCTCACTGTCCACTCTGCCTGTCAAAAAAAAAATTAAATTAAAAAAAAAAAGACTCTGCAGGCAAGCAAACAATGTATAAAGTAGCAGGTGTTGTGTTACAAGGGATTAAGCTACTGATTCCCACATTCTATTTCAGAATGCTGGTTGAGTCCCAGCAATTCCATTTCCAGTACAGTTCCTTATTAATGCTCATAGAAAGCAGATGATAGCTCAAGAATTTGAGTTCCTGCCACCTCCATGGGAAACCCAGATGGACTTCTTGGCTCCTGGCTTCAACCAGACCCTGCCTGAGTTGTTGCAGTTATTTGGGGAGTGAACCAGCATTTAAAATCTCTCTCTCTCTCTCTCCCTCTCTCTCTCTCTGCCTTTCAAATAAACAAATAAATATTTAGAAAAAGGCATGTAAAAATGCCATATATTCTGCAAAGTTTTCCTCTGCTTAACTGCTTAATTACCTCAAAGAATACATAATAGGACAGACAAGGAGAGAAACTGAAATAAAGAGACAATCTGGATTCAGAAGCAATTGGTTGGTATAAAAAATTAACTAATTCAAATTTATAAATTAAATAAGCATGTATTTGTTTACAGACTGAACTAAAGAAAGATATGGAAAACAGCCTTTAGAAAATATTTCCCCCGTCCAGCATTGTGACACAGTGGATTAAGTTGCCACATGTGATACTGGCATCTCATATTAGGATACAGGTTGGAGTTGTGTTTGCTCTGCTTGGGATCCAGCTTCTTACTAATGTGCCTGGGAAAACAGCAGTTGGTAGACCAAGTATGCCACCTTTGTGAAAGACTTGGATGGAATCCCAGGCTCTTGACTTCAGCCTGGCCTAACCTAGACTATTGTGGCCATTTGGGCAGTGAATAGCAAACAGAAGATCTCTCTCTCTCTCTCAGTCAGTCTCCACAAACCACTCCCTGACATTCTTTTTAAGTAAATAAAATAAACATTTTTTAAAAATTTCACAGAATGGCTGGCGCCGCGGCTCACTTGGCTAATCCTCCACCTACAGCGCCGGCACCCCGGGTTCTAGTCCCGTCGGGGCGCCGGATTCTGTCCCGGTTGCTCCTCTTCCAGTCCAGCTCTCTGCTGTGACCCGGGAAGGCAGTGGAGGATGGCCCAAGTGCTTGGGCCCTGCACCCGCATGGGAGACCAGGAGGAAGCACCTGGCTCCTGGCTTCCGACTGGTGCAGCGCCTTGGGGGGTGAACCAACAGAAAGGAAGACCTTTCTCTTTCTCTCTCTCTCTCTCTCTCTCTCTCTCTCACTAACTCTGCCTGTCAAAAAAAAAAAATCCACAGAATGAAGAGAAAAAATGTAAACGGTATTTGAAAAATACTTAAGATAGATGATTTATATGAAAAAAGAGAACAAACATCCTACTTAAAAACTTACAGCTATATATGTCAGCAAGTAAGTATTGAAGTCATGGAATGCCGGTTATCCAACTTTTTCTTCTTCAACACTTTATTTACTATTTTGCATTCTTTGCCTTTCTGTGTACTTCAGAATCAGATATTGCTATTTACAAAATAATTGGCTAGGATCTGGATTGGGACTGAGTTGAACCTACAAAGTCTGAAAGACTTGACATCTTGACAATATTGAGTCTTTTTATCCTTGTACATAGAGTAACTCAATTTATTTACAACTTCGATTTTTTTAATCACAGTTTTATACTTTTTCATATAGTCCTACCTAACAAAATTTTACTAGATTTTTATCTAAATGTTTCACTTTTTGGTGGTGATGTGAAAAGTACTATGGTTTTTATTTCAAATTCCAATTGCTCATTGCTGGCAACTGATTTTTGTTATTAACCTCACATCCTGCAGTTTTACTATAATTGGGTGCCAGGTTTTCTGTACTTTTTTGGTTGATTCTTTTAATATGTGAACAATTAGTTTTCTTTCTTTCCAATCTATATATATCTTATTTCTTTTCTTTGTTGGTTGCTTTAAACAGGCCTGTAGCATAAAGCTGAAATGAAGTTGTTTGAGTAGACATCATTGCCTTGTTCCTGATCCTGCTGGAAAGTATCAGTATCATTAAGTATGATGTTAGCCATAGTTTCTGTGTAGCTGTCCTTTGTCAAGTTGAGAAAGTTCTTCTGTTTTGCTTGATTAGAATTTTTATCATCATGGATATTGGACTTTCTCAAATTCTTTTTTTTTAAGAAATATTTATTTATTTTAAGGGTAGAGTTACAGAGAGGCAGAGGCAGACAGAGAGAGAGAGAGAGAGGTCTTCCATCTGATGGTTCACTCCCCAAGTGGCTGCAATGACCGGAGTGGGGGCCAATCCGAAGCCAAGAGCCAAGAGCTTCTTCCAGGTCTCCCAAATGGGTGTAGGGGCCCAAGCCCTTGGGCCAACTTCTACTGCTTTCCCAGGCCATAGCAGAGAGCTGGATCGGAAGTGGAGCAGCCAGGTCTCGAACCAGCGCCCATATGGGATGCCAGCGCTTCAGGCCAGGGTGTTAACCCGCTGTGCCACAGCGCCAGCCCCATTTCTCAAATTCTTTATGTGCATCCACTGATGATCATATGATTTTTCTTCTTTTCCCAGTTGATGTAATGGATTACATTAGCAGCTTTTTGAATGGTGAACCAACATTGCATATTTGGAATACATCCCACTTGGTCATGGTATGTAATTTCCTTCCTTCCTTCCTTCCTTCCTTCCTTCCTTCCTTCCTTCCTTCCTTCCTTCCTTTCTTTTTTGACAGGCAGAGTTAGTGAGAGAGAGAGACAGAGAGAAAGGTCTTCCTTCTGTTGGTTCACCCCTCAAATGGCCACCCCAGCCAGCACATTGTGCCAATCGGAAGCCAGGAGCCAGGTGCTTCCTCCTGGTCTCCCATGCGGGTGCAGGGCCCAAGTACTTGGGCCATCCTCTACTGCCTTCCCAGGCCACAGCAGAGAGCTGGACTGGAAGAGAAGCAACTGGGACAGAATCCGGCGTCCCAGCCGGGACTAGAACCAAGGGTGCCGGCGCTGCAGGTGGAGGATTAGCCAAGTGAGCCGCAGCACCAGCCTGGTATATAATTCTTAATATACATTATGGGATTTTATTTGTTAAATTCAATTGAAGATTTTACAACTATGCTTCTGGGAAATATTGACTTGTAATTTTCCTTTCTTTTAATGTCTTTGGCTTTGATATTGGGGTAATGCTGGCCTCATACAATGTGTTACGATGTATTTCCTCTGTTTTTATTTTCTGAATGAAACTGCAGAGAACTGGTGTAATTTATCTCCTGAATGTTTCTGCTCAGTTTATTTACTCATATCCTTATTTTGTAACCTAGCTTCCTAGAAGTTTGTTTTCTGTATAACTCAGTGGTCAGCCAATGATTTGGCCAGATGTTGTGCTAAAATGCCTTGCGCTAATAGGATTTCTGCCTTTTGCCAAGTATCTGTGCACAGGTTGAGGAAAACAGAGTCTGAACCAACTTGTTATTCTCTTTTATCTTTTTACTTTTTGCCAGCTCTTGGGGAGTTCTGCATACATGTGTAGTTTTCCAGTTAGCCAGGTATATGTGGAAAGCTTACCTGATACCCTGTATAGGTATTTCATTACCAGGTTCTCCATTCAAATATCTGCAGTTCCAGTTCCATTTCCAACCAAATATGGCAATTTTAGCTGGCTGAGGCATAGATTTTACTTCCCAGTCCTAACAGCACTCCTCTGATATCAGTTGTGATAGTTTTAATAGGCAGGCAGAAGCCGGCATAACTACCATTCTTGTCCAGCAAGTTCTATGTAGTAGGGGGTATAGGAAAAGATGCAGAAAATAAGGTCATAGACTCTTGATATTCATATCCAAAATTGAGGCAGCTTTTCAGAAATAAATGTTTCTCAATGTATTGTCTGCATGTATTAGTTTCTAAAACTTTAAAATTATGGTAAAATAAACACAACATCAATTATCATTTTTAACCATTTTTTAAAAAACATTTATTTTTATCTACTTGAAAGGGTTACAGAGAGAGAGACAGAGAGATATTCTATCCGCTGGTTCACTCCCCAAATGGCTACAATATCTGGGACTGGGCCAGGCCAAATCCAGGGGCCAGGAGCTTCTTCTGGGTCTCCTTGTAGGTATGGGGCCCAGGAACTTGGTCATCTTCTGCTGCTATTCCAGGTGCATTAGCAGGGAGCTAGATTGGATGTAGACAGCCAGGACTTCAAGTAGTGTCATATAGGATGCTGGTGTTGCAGGCAGTGGCTTTACCCACTATGCCACAATGCTGGCCCCCATTTTAACCCTTTTTAAGTGTATAATCATTGGTATTGAGGACATTTATAATGTTGTTCAATAATCATTACTTTCCATTTCTGGAAATTTTCATCATCCCAAATAGAAACTCTGTGGTCATTAATAATTCCACATTCTCTCCTCCCACTTGCAAAAGTAACCTGTATTCTTTCCATATCTAGAGTTTGTTTTTACTTGGTATTCATATACCACATGTAAGTAGAGTCATAACAAATTTGTCCTCTTGTATTTGGCATAATATTCTGAAAAAGCAGCCCTGTTGCACTGCTATTTATCAGTAAAATTCCTTTTTATGGATCAGTAATATTCCATCAAACGGATATATCACATTTTGTTTATCCTTTCTTCATTTGACGAAATTTGAGTAACTTCTATATATTTGATTGATCCAGCTGTGAATATTAGTATGTGACTTCTGTAGGCATATGTTTTGATTTTTAAGATTTATTTATTTGAAAATCAGAGTTACAGAGAGAGAGGGAGACACACAGGGAGAAATCTTCCAATCACTGGTTCACTTCCCAGATGGTCGCAATGACCAGAGCTGGGCAGGGCTGAAGTCAAGAGCTTCTCTGGGGCTCCCATGTGGGTGCTTGGACCCAAATACTTGGGCCATTTTCCACAGCTTTCCCAGGCTAACAGCAGGGAACTGGATCAGAAGTGGAGCAGCAGGCATGGAAAGCCTACACACTGTGGCAAAAAAAAAAAAAAATGACCTCAAAGAAAGATCTCTGTGAGTGAGATCCCAGCAGAAAGAACGGGCCATCAAAGAAGGAGGTACCTTTCTCTGAAGGGAGGAGAGAACTTCACTTTGATTATGGCCTTGGCTAAATAAGGTCGGAGTTTGTGAACTCAAGAGGCTTCCATAGCCTGGGCAGCTCATGACAGAAACCTCAGGTGATTATTGACGTCATAAATAAGAGTGTCAATTGTTAAATCAACAACAGGAGTCACTGTGCACTTACTCCCCATGTAGGATCTCTGTCCTTACTGTGTTGTACTATGCGAATTAACGGTGAAACTAGTATTCAAAACAGTACTTTATACTTTCTGTGTCTGTGTGGCTGCAATCTATTGAAATCTTTACTTAGTATTTATTAAGTTGATCTTCTGTATATAAAGATAATTAAAAATGAACCTTAATGAAGAATGGAATGGGAGGGAGTAGGAGATGAGATGGTTTGCAGATGGGAGGGTGGTTATGGGGAGAAAAACTGCTATAATCTAAAAGTTGTACTTTCGAAATTTATATTTATTAAGTAAAAGTTTACTATAAAAAAGAAGTGGAGCAGACAGAACATGAACCAGAACCCATATGGGATGCTGGCATTGCAGGTGGCGGCTTTACCCACTGTGCCACAATGCCAGCCCTATATGCTTTCATTTTCACGAGCACATATGCAGATGTAGAATTGAATTTCAGGGTACTTTTTAAGGAATTGCCCAACTGTTTTTAGAAGGCAACTGCACATTTTTTACTCCCATAGGCAGCATATAAGGGTTCTGATTTTTCCACAAATTAGCCAATATTTGTTATTTTAAACTTAGCATTGGGCTATCATTGTGGCATATCATGTAAAGCTGCTGCCTGTGACAAAGGCATCACATATAGGTGCTTCTTTGTGTCCCAGCTGCTCCACTTCTAATCCAGCTCCCTGCTAATGGCCTGGGAAAAAATAACGGAAGATGAGCTAAGTATATGGGCCACTGCCATCCAAGAGGGAGACCTGGATGAAAATTCCTGGCTCCTGACTTCAGCCTGGCTCAGCCTTGGCAGTTGTAGTCATCTGGGGAGTGAACCAGCAGATGGAAGATCTCTTTCTGTCTCTCTGTAACTCTGCCTTTCAAATCAATAAATAAATCTTTTAAAAAATAGTAGAATTGGTGTTGCAGCCCAGAGGGTTAAGCTTTTTCTTGCAACACCGGCATTCCATATCAGAGTGCCAATTCAGCTGTCCCACTTCTGATCCAGCTTCTTGTTAGTGTACCAGGGGAAACAGCAGATGATGTCCCAAGTACATGCATCCCTGCCACCTACATGGGAGACCCAGATGGAGTTCCTGGCTCCTGGCTTCAGCCTAGCCTAGCCCTGGCTGTTGTGGGCATTTGGGGAAAAAATCAGCAGATGGAAGCTTTCGTTCTTTTTCTCTGTCTCTCTCTCTCTCTCCCCCTCCCTCTGTCCCTATCATTCTGCCTGTTAAATAATGAAACAAATCCTAAAAAAATAGTGCTATTGAACTATAATTGACATATAATAAACTTCGTATGTCTAAAGGGTACAATTTGATGTTTCAGCATATGAACACACTTATGAAACAGTCCCATTATCAAGATAATGAATATATCCATTACTCCAAAATATTTTCTCATCTCTTTTTTTTAAATTGCTTCACTGTTTTTATACCTCCATCCCTGTCCCCAGGGAACTACCTACTTCTTATCATTGCAGATTAGTCTGTATCCTTTCTGTCTGAGTTCCTTTACTCGAAAAATAATCTTGAGCTTCAACCATATTGTGACATTTGTGCTGATAGTCCATTCTCCTTTTTTGCTAACTAGAATTCTATTTTAGGGATATGCAATAATTTATTTTTTTCATTAACCTGTTGGTGGGCATTTTTTTCAGATATTTCTATTTTGGGGAATACAAATAATGCTACTGGGAAAATTAAAGGACAAGAGTTTATGAGGACATACATTCTTCCCCCCGCCGTGGGCAAGTTCCTAAGAGTAGAATGCCTAAATTATGTGGTTGGTATATGTTTAACTTTTTAAGCAACTGCCAAATTGCTTTCCAAAGTGATTTTACAATTTTATATTACTACCAGCAGTGAACAAATATCCTTTTTCTTCTACAAACATGTAAAAACTTGGTAGGCCAGGCTTTTTAATTTTAACAGTTGTATTTTGTGTGTTGAGGTATCTCAATATGTGAATTTGTGTCTCTGTTTTCTTGTGAGAATTCACAGCACATAAAATTAATCATCTTAAAGGCAACGATTTGGTGGCAGTACATTCAGAATGTTGTGGAACCACCATCTTATCTAACTGTATTTTTATTACCCCAAAATAAAATCCTATACTCAGGAAACAGTTGTTCCTTATTCCCTCCATCCTCCAGCCCCAGAAACACCAGGTTCCGTATTTACCTATTTCCTGTTTCTGGATTTACCTATTGTGAACCATATAAATGGAAGCATAAGGAGCCATTTGTTCAAATCACAGGAGGAAAACATTGGGGAAACTCTGAAAGTCATTGGCATAGGCAAAGACTTATTGGAAAAGACCCCAGAAGCACAGGCAATAAAAGCAAAATTAGACAAATGGAATTACATCAAGCTAAGAAGTTTCTGCACTGCAAAGGAAACATTCAACAAAGTGAAGAGACAACTTAGAGAATGGGAGAAAATATTTGCAAATTATGCAACTGATAAAGGATTAATATTCAGAGTTTATAAAGAGCTCAAGAAACTTTACAACAACAAGCAAACAATCCAGTTAAGAAATGGG